CTTCCGTCGATTTTAAATTTGTCAATGTTGTCTTGAGATTTTGGTTATCGTAGAGGGTTAAGGGATGAAGAAATTGAGTGTTTGTCTACTCTTCTTTGTCTCCTTGATAAGGTTTGGTTGRATCCTTCGAAGCCTGATAARAGGATTTGGGCCATTCACCCCAATGGGTCTTTTTCTTGTGATTCTTTTCTCAATTTCCTCTGCCAAACATCCTCTCAACAAAGTTTCCCTTCAAAAGAAGTCTGGTGTAGGCCAGTCCCCCCCAAGGTTATGGCTTTGTGTTGGGAAGTGTGGCATGGTAAAGTAAACACGATGGATAACTTACAAAAGAGAAGACTCATCCTTTGTATTTCACCAAACTAGTGCATTCTTTGCAAATCTCATGGTGAGGATTGTAATCATCTATTTTTATCTTATAGTGTAACTGCAGAGCTCTAGGTTTGGCTTCTATCTTTGTTTGGGTGTAGTTGGGATATGACAGCAGAAGTAAGTACAATCTTTAACCCTTCTTTTTTCTCTTGGCCCCATAAAAGAGGAAAGAAAATGTGGAGGTGCACGCGAGCAGCATTGTTATGGACAATATGAGAAGAAAGGAATGCCAAGATCTTCCAAGAAAAAGGAAGGAGCAACCAAGCATTAAAGGACTGCATTATGTATAGGTCAATACATTGGTTAAAGACTCTAGAATTATTTAACCATTTCTCTTTTACTGATTTTTGGAAGGATTGGATGTTGGTAGCAAGTTGTTCCTCCTCCAAGGTAAGGGTATTGACTAGCTGGGTGCCCCCTCCTTGTGGTTCTTTGAAGCTGAATTTTGATGGGAGTAGCCAGGGTAACCCGGGTCCCTCTAGGATGGGAGATGTACTGAGGAATGAGGGTAGAGAGGTTGTCTTACTCTACTCTGGCCCTCTAGGAGTTGGGAACTCTATCCGGGCAGAGCTGTTAGTTGCAATACAAGGAATACTTCTTGCAAAAGAAGTGGGCATGGAGCAGCTTCTGATTGAAAGGGATTCTAAGACAGTGGTGGATTGGTTAAATAATCCGGAGGATGTCACTTGGGGCTACAAAAATGAGTTAAAGAAATTCAAATGGCTGACAAAAAGTATGTCTATAATAGTACAGTGGGTTGGGAGATCAGCTAATGCATTTGCCAATGTCTTGGCAAAACAAGGGACAAATAGGGAGACATTGTTCTGGGCGCAACTGTAACTCTTGTTTAACATCAACATTCATGTAATCTCTATTGTAGTTTTATGTATTTGCTGTTTGGAGAGGCGGCACCTCGCGCCTCTAAGGGGATTTTCATGTAACCAATCTTTGAATTAATGGAAGATGATTTTATTAATCAAAAAAAAAAAAAGATGAGAATCATGTCCTGGAATGTTAGGAGGTTGGGGGCACCCAAAAAGAGGAGCTCCGTGAAGGCAATGGTTTCAAAATGGCATCCAGATGTGGTTACTTTCCAAGAATCCAAGAAGGAAGAGTGGTCCAGAGATCTGTGTAGATAAGTCTGGGGTGGTGGTGATGTTCAGTGTGCGGAAAGACCGGCGGTAGGGACCTCTGGAAGCATTCTAATTTTGTGGAATCCAGGTGTGGTTGTTGCTCATGACATTTCTTTAGGGGTCTTCTTCCTGTCAGTGGTATTTAGTAATATTGAAGAAGGTTTGGAGTGGCTCTTTACAGGGGTCTATGGTCCTATGGACAGCAGCCAACGGGGTGTTTTCTGGGAAGAATTGGAGGCCATTTTTACAAGATGGAATCTTCCTTGGTGCCTAGCCGGTGATTTCAACATTGTGAGGTTCTCATTTGAAAAGAGGGGTGGAACGGCGGTTTCAACAAACATGGCAGTGTTCGGGGATTTTGTAAACAGGTTGGGGATGATTGATTTGCCACTTCAGGGTACTATTTTCACTTGGAGCAACTTCCGCTCAAACCCCTCTTTGCCAAGGTTGGATTGTTTTCTTGTTAATTCTGATTGGGAACAAGCTTTCTCAAACATTGTGCAGCGTGTTTTGCCTAGACCCACCTCCAACCACGTCCCGCTGTTGTTACAATCTGGGGAGGTATGTCGAAAGCCCCTTTTTGTTTAGAACTGATGTTCTTTGAAATTCATGGCTTCATTGACAGGGTGAGAGTGGTGGGATGGATTCGATGAATCCCTTCATTTTGAACAAAAGCTTAAGGCCCTTAAAGCTAAGATCAAGGTGAGGAATGCTGAAGATTTTGGTTGCTTGAACCAGCATAAGGAATCCATGTTGGCCTTTATTTCAGATTTTGATAAAAAGGAAGCCTCTGGCACTTTGTTGGAAGAGGAGCGAAGGAAGAGAGACTTGGCAAGGAATGAGTTTGGAAGGTTGTGTCGAATGGAGGAGGTATCTTGGTATCAGAAATCCAGGGTCTTGTGGCTCAAGGAAGGAGATAAGAACACACACTTCTTTCACCAAATGGCCAATAGTCGAAAAAGACAAAACACGATTAAGACAATCTCTGTGGAGGGCAGATCTTTGGAAGAAGACCAGGAGGTAATTGATGGCATTTTAGATTTTTACAAATCTGAAGGAAGCTTGATTAGGCCTTCACTGGACAGAGTAGAGTTAAACCTTTTAGGGGAGGCAGATAGGGCCTGGCTGGAAAGGGAGTTTGAGGAGAATGAGGTCTGGCAAGCTGTGAAAGATCTTGAAGGGGATAAGGCCTCTGGATCAGACGGTTTTCCGATGGGGTTCTACCAAAGGTGTTGGGACATTATTAGGGTGGAACTGATGTTGGCAATCAATGATTTCTAGGTTAATGGGAAGCTTTCTCGAGGTGCTAGATCAACCTTTATCTCCCTAATCCCAAATGACTCGGGCGCCTATGACATCAGGGATTTTCGACCTATAAGCTTAATAAACAGTTTCTACAAGGTGATTTCTAAGGTGCTGGCCAATCAGCTCAAAAAGGTGTTTGGTAAGCTGGCCCTTCCTTCTCAGGGGGCCTTTGAAGACAAATCTTGGATGGTCCTCTTATCACAAATGAATGCATTGACTCCCACCTATGGCAAGGGGAACCTGGTTTGGTTTGCAAACTGGACCTCGAGAAAGCTTACGATCATGTAGTGGCCTTTTGTTGACTATGTGCTAAGAAGAATGGGATTTGGGGTTGTGTGGAGGAAGTGGATTTCTGGCTGTATCTCAACTCCTTGATTTTCAGTGCTCATTAATGGGGCGTCAGAAGGTTTTTTCGAAGGAGAAAGGGGTCTCTGGCAGGGAGACCCGTTATCCCCTTTTCTTTTTACTTTAGTAGTGGAGCCATTAGGCAGGCTAGTGAACAAGGCTGTCGAGAGAGGCTTTATTGAAGGTTTTTCAGTAGGCTCTTGCCCCACAACAGGCCTACGGCACTAGTGTTTGGAAAGGAATTATGGTTCGGCTCACTCTGTTTCAGCAACATGTCTCCTTTAAGGTGGGGGATGGGAGCAGAATATCTTTTTGGAATGATACTTGGTGTTCAGATCTTCCTCTGGCAGATTTGTTCCACCCTCTTTTCTTGCTATCCGTGAATAGGGGCGGTGCTGTTAAGTATTTCTATGAACTGATTAGTGGGCAGGTGGTGTGGGTTCCCAGATTTCGTAGGAATTTAAACGACTGGGAAGTGGATCTCTTAGGAGGGATGTTAAGCAGCTTGAGTGCTATCCAACCTAATCCCAACTCCAGGGAGGCTGTGGACAACCGGGAAGGAGGGTCAATTCTCAGTTAGTTGCTGCTACAAAGCTTCTGCTGATAGAGGTGGTCAGGTTCCATTGTTCTGGCTTTGGAAAGTTCAGGTCCCTTCGAAGATCAAATTCTTTGTTTGGCTGGCTATTAAGGACAAGCTCAGTCTACTGAATATCTGTTGAGGCGCAGAATGGAGCTGGATTCCACTTGCAGCCTTTGTGGAGTAGCCTCTGAGTCCATCCATCATCTCTTGATTCACTGCCCCTACACCTACCAAGTCTGGTGCCATTTCTTCAGGCTGGAGGGTAAATTGCTTCTCAGACAAAGGCCAGTTCTTGTGGAAGTGCCTGCCTTTTGCAATTTTCTGGGTGGTTGGAAAGAGCACAACCAAAGGATTTTTTAGTCTAAATCCATTGAAGTGGAGGTGGTTCTAGGAAAAGTGGAAAGGCTGCTTGTGAGTTGGGCTAGGTGCTCGAAACTTTTTGTGGATGTGCCTGCTAGTTCCTTTTCTGATCAGTGGTGGTCCATCATTTTTTGAGTTCTCTTCTTTTGGTTTTTTTGAGCTCTCTTTGTGCATGATCTGTGCATTTCAAAGGCACTCTCCTTTTGTATATGATTGAGGGCTTCTTGCCCTCCTTTTCATTAATACAAATATTTAGAAGTTCAAACCTGGATAAGAATCCAATTAATTTTAAAGAGAAAAATATTTAGTACTGCACATGGAGATGAGTTCTCAATCAGATGAATTTTCAATACTCTGAGTCAAATCTTTTCAGAAATCCCAGTAGCATCAGAACCTAAGTCCTCAGGACTGCTGATTTTCAAGATATAAATATGAAGGGGTAAGGATAGAACAAGATTCTCTGAGTTAATCAATAATATCAAGCAAAATCTGGATCTAGACTCTACATCTTTCTACCAATTTCTAAGTTAAATGTAACCATGATTATGCTTTAGTTGTATCTTAGAAGTTAGAACAAAGAACATATAGAAATTATTCTTTTATTTTCTCTTTTTATCGGTGCACGTAAAAACCACTCCCAAAATCTTTTCCTTCACAAGGATTGTCCTTTATGTATTTTTGTCTACTATTGTGAAGTACAAATGACAATGACAATCACCACAACAAGTTGATGCACGGGTAATATTGACAACACCAAAAACAGAAATATGCAAGTTATCCATTCCTTCACCATGCAGATTAGAAACAACCCCTCCAACCAAAAGAGAAGAACTTCAAAGAATATAGGGAAGGATGAAAGCAACAAGCAGAATCATGTTGTCTATAGTTGGTCAACCAGGATTACTCACCATGAGTTGGCGACCATTGAATAGAATTGACAGGCTTTGTGTGGCAAGTTAGTACTTTGGACAGCCTTTCTGGAGTTTGACCGTGCTGTGCATGGCCCTTTCCTTTACATCTCAGTGATGACAAAATACCAAATGGTACATCTGACTCAGAAATACTTCCAATAACTGAAAGCATGACAAACATTTCAGACAAGTGAGGCAGCATTTGTTAAGCATTTAGAAATTGCAGATCAATCAGGATGTATATGTATACTACAGAAGTATTAATCCAGACAAGAAAAACTTTCATACAGGTAGTAGATTCTTGGTAATTGGAACAAGGAACATATCAGTCAAATTTGCATGTTTTGAGAACCATAGCACAATCTACAGAATAGTTTATCAATGGGAAAATAGGGCTGCAAACACATTGGATTCAAAACCAGATATACATAGATCTAGATTCAATGATTCATTAATATTTGAATCAAGATTGAATCTTCCATGAAATCTCAGACTTGGAACGTATTCAGACATTATATTACATTAAATGATTAATTAGTCGAATAGGACTACAATCTGTCCTAGGTTTAATGAGAAATTAACAAACAAAGATTGAAAAGAGAGAAGAAGATAAGAGAAGAGAAGAGGAGAAGAACTAGAAGAAGGGAATTCAGAAAAGAGAGAGAGTCAGTCAACAGCCACCCCACTCCTACAATTTATATTAATATTCGAATGAAAGTAAAAGGGCTGAATTGCCCTTACTGCTTACATGGCAAAATAATAAAAGAAAACTAATAACTATAAACTGAAATAAACTACCAACTAACAAACTGAAATAACTAACTGCTAACTACAGTCTAACTACAGTCATATGAACACAGTGGGGACCACATCAGTGTTCTCTACACTCCCCCTCAAGTTGGGAATAGATGTTTATCATTCCCAACTTGCATAGATATACTGGCTAACAACACTGACTGCATAACTGATGTCCAATCATGTGAGACAAAGATAGAGGAGTTTTCCAACTAACTGTTGGAACATAGCTTTATCTTCAAGGGGCTCTCCACACTCTGCACTGATCTTGTGATTCTGTTCAATAGGTGTATCAGCAAGCTTAACACCCAACTTTCCAATTTCTTCCAACAAATCAAGAACATACTTTCTTTGAGAAACAAAAATCCCATGCTTGGACCTAGCTACCTCAATACCCAAGAAGTGCTTAAGAAACTCAATCTCACTGTTATCACTTTTTTTTATCAATAATAGTGAATTTTATTAAAGATTGAGAAAGTACATAGTAAAGGAGCTAAAAAATCTCATTGTTATCACTCCCTGTCACTACAATATCATCTACATATACAACAAGCAGGGTTAAGGAAGAATTCACTTTCTTAATAAACAAAGTGTGATCTAACTAGGTCTACACATAGCCAAACTTTTCAAGAGCTTGTCTAAATCTATCAAGTCAAGCTCTGGGGGACTATTTTACTCCATACAAGCTTTGTTCAGCCGGCAAACCTTCTTTCCTGTTTCTGCACTATAAAATCCAGGAGGCAACTGCATGTAAACTTCTTCTTGCAAGTCTCTGTTGAGGAAGGCATTTTTAACATCCATCTGAAACCAAGGCTAGGAGTAACTGGCTACAAGAAGTAATAAAACTCTGATAGTGGTCATCTTTGTTACTAATGCAAAAGTCTCCAAGTAGCCTATACAATATGTCTGAGTAAATCCCTTTGCAATTAATCGGGCCTTATACCTTCAAACTGATATTTGAACCCTAATCTTCAGGATTCGAACTTGCTTTTGATTCTTCCTGATCACTGGATCTCTCCAAGACTCTACAATCTCTTTAGTAGCAGCCTCACACTGCCAGCAAACTCCAAGAATCATCCAATGACCTTCTTTCTGCTAAAACTTCCAAACCTAGGAGGTTCTCATGTAGTCGGCCTGATTAGACTAGCATAAGAACTCCTAGGTTGGCTCTAATACCAAGTAGTCGAATAGGACTACAATTTGTCCTAGGTTTAATGAGAAATTAACAAACAAAGATTGAAAAGAGAGAAGAAGAGAAGAGAAGAGAAGAGGAGAAAAAGAACTCGAAGAAGAGAATTCAGAAAAGAGAGAGAGTCAGTCAACAGCCGCCCCACTCCTACAATTTATATTAATATTCGAATGAAAGTAAAAGGGCTGAATTACCCTTACTGCTTACATGGCAAAATAATAAAAGAAAATTAATAGCTATAAACTGAAATAAACAACCAACTAACAAACTGAAATAACTAACTGCTAACTACAGTCTAACTATAGTCATACGAACATAGTGGGGACCACATCAATGTTCTCTACAGATTAAACTAAAAAAAAGTACCAGAATATTATATACTATTAATAAAATGAACTAGAAATCAATTTTATTTGAAAAAAAAAATAACTTATATGAACTTTTAAGGAAAACAAAACTTAAAGTATTAAACCAACTTTTACACATAGACACCTATATAATTAGGGTAAACGCATACTTGATCTGATTATAAATGGATCAAGTTTGGATCACCTTAATTCAATAATTACAACCACTACAAATGTTCTTTATTGATAAAAATAATAGAAATTAATTAGTAATATGCAAAGAACCAAGTAAAACACATATGGTAAAATGAAGATCACATGAACTTCAAGGGGGAAAACCTATCCATGTAAACAGTAATGTGCATACACAAATATTTTAGGTATGCTGTAAAATAAATGGATTCCTTTTGTAAGAAAATAATCTATAAATAAACTAGAAGGCTTGTTCCTTTTGTATACCATGGAATTAGACAGCCTCAACCATTCCAGAACCCAGATATGTATTGAACTGTTAAGTACCTGTAACTACTAAATCCTTAATTTCAAGAACTTTACCAAAGAAGATAAGCAGATGCATCAAAAATGAAATCAAAATTGGAAGTGGTTGGGAATGAGTTAAACAGAGAAAAAAGAAAAGAATCTTAAGTAAGAAATCAAGTTTCTATCAGTATCTATTTATCTAATGTAAGTTTTATAATTTTTGAGCTTTTCAATTCTGGGACAAGTGTTGTTTGTAAGCTTATGTTCCAGTTTCTACTTGCATCCAGAATGGGTTTAATCAGATTAAAGAGGCTCCATAGAGTTAAAAGAGTCACTAGTTTTACAGAATTCCCAGGTTCATCACTTTTTTCTGACTTTTAGGGGCCAAAACAAGTCTATTAGCCTTCCAAGTTCAATGGATCAAATGATTGAGAAGTAGAGAACCTCAATGAATTAAACCAGCCCACCATCGATGATAGGAACTGGGAAGGGAATATAAGTGTTTAGACAACCAAGCCAGGTGGGTAATTCATCAGTAGGTATTTATATATACCTCTATTTTGGGCTCAGATTATAAATCATTTTCCTTAAATTGGATATGATTATTCAATATATCTCCTTGATGATCAACTTTTTCATGTGAACTGCAGTTCTTGATAAGAGCTTGAAGGTGGAGCACATAATCCCAAGAATAATGATATTAATAGAAGAATGTTTTAAGAAAGTGACAGGCTGAAAAGGTGCCCAACAGTTTGATACGATGCAAGCTCTCCTTGAAGGCAAGGCAACAATGAATTACTCCTAAAGCCCTCCTTTTTTTTGGCATTGCTCTTAGTCATCAATATGGAAGTATTTCAAGAACTTTAGAATTATTTGTTTTATAAAAGGCCATGGGAATCCATACATGAATTCTTTTTTTTTTTTTTGAGTGGATAGTTTGATACAAAATTTTCACCCAGTCAAAACTTATGACCATGTAGATATTTGTAAAAGGGGGATGCTCCTTTCTTTAATATTATAGCAATATAATAATTTTATGACCACTTATTCAAAAATATATAACTATGTAAGATATATGATCAAGTCCCCAAAGAGATAACAAAGTGGATCTTGGAAAAGAAAGAAGTTTCAAATAGGTGTATAGACCTAATTAAGGATAATGGATATGTATGAGGTCGCAATGAGCCAACAGCCAATGTTACACCTGTGGGAGAGACATCAGATTTTATAGTTATGATGGGTATTCACCAAGGTTCAGCACTTGGCCCTAATTTACTTGCACAAATCATAGATGAATTGACTAAACATATTCAGGGGAAGATCCCATGGTGCATGTTGTTTTGATGACATTGTTTTAATTTATTGAACTAATGAAGGATTAAATGCAAAGTTAAGTTTATGGACAAATACCTTAGAAACAAGAGGTTTTAAGATAAGTAGGACTGAAACAGAATATATGATTGGTAATTTTAACAATAAGAAAAGTGCAAATCAAGGTGCACTTATGATTGGAGACCAAGAGATAATTCAATGTGACCTTTTTCCAGTACCTTGGTTTGATAATTCATAAAAAGGGAGAGATTGAGGAGGATGCCGCCCCTAGAATTAGAGTAGGACGGGAAAATGGAGTGGTGCATCCGGAATCTTATGTGATAGGCGAATACCACTTAGACTAAAAGGAAAATTCTATAAAATAATTGTAAGGCCAGCCATGTTCTATGGAGTAGAGAATTGGGCACTTGGGCAGTTAAGAAACAACATGTCCAAAATATGACTGTGGTAGAAATGTGTATGCTGAGATGGATGAATGGAAAAACTAGAAAGGATACGGTAAGAAATGAAGTCATTCCTAGGAGTAGCACCAATAGGTGATAAAATAAGAGAAAGTAGACTAACATGGTTTGGCCACAGTCATGGAAGACCTTTGTCAACACATACAAGAAGAAAGTGATCTATTGCAAGTTGAAGGGGCTAGAGAGGGTAGAGGTAAACCAAAAAAGATATAGGCCAAAGTAGTAAGAAATAATTTAAGAACAAATAACCTAACAATGGGTATGGCATTAAATAGAACAGAATGGTGAAACAAGATTCATGCAGTTGACCCCATATTGTTGGGACAAGGCCATCGTTTTCAAGGTGCCAAGGCGAGGCTAAGCGACAAGGGGGTGCCTGGTCGCCTAGGCGATGGATTTTTTTATGTAGAAAGCATAGATCCTAGGGTAGTTCCCTAGGTACCATAACCATATTTCCTTAATAATTATTCATAATTTTCGTAAGAAAAGTATAGAGTTCATGTTAAAGTATAGAAAACCAACAAATTAATGAGAAGAAAAAGAAAATTCAAAAAATATAGGGGCTGAACCCTTATTTTTGTTATAGGGAAAGAAGAAAAGAAAAAGTAGTAGTAGTAGAAAATGTGTTGATTAGACAAAATTTTAAGTTCTTCCTTACTTATTGATTCAGGTTTTGAAGCCTTTGAGGATTCAATACAGCATTTAGCAATGTTTGTATTGATTAAACCCTAACAAATAAGAAAATAATAAAAAGAAATTAGTATATAAACACACAAAATGAATATTNAAATAATAAAAAGAAATTAGTATATAAACACACAAAATGAATATTTTAGTTTAATAGTGCCTATTTTATAATTATAATGTCAAAAAATAAAGAATAAAAAAGTATTTTATAATACATAGTACAAAACTGCTTGGCGATTAGGCGAGGCCATAGTTGTCAAGACGACGCTTAGGCGACTAGGCAGTTTTCAAACTTCACCTCGCCCAGACGCCATGCAAAGTTTGTATAAGGCGCACGCCTAGGCGACTAGGCAGGCGCTTAACTCCAAGGCGCACGCCTAGACTAGACGCAAGACACATTAATACATGATATACATCCCTTAATACATTGATCCTTTAATATTTTTATATTGTTTTTTACTTTTCTTTTGCTGCAAATAGTTTTTATTATTACAATAGAACCTATCACACATTATCACTCTTTTTATTAAAAGAGTGCTGTCTTTTTAGGATTTTATTTTCATGGCATAACTGAATAGAAGAGGGAGAGCTGTCCCATCAGGTATGTTTCACACACAGTCCAACTCCAACTGTTGCTGCAATGCTGCATAACCAACTAGAAGTCTAAACAACTTCGAATATGCCAGGTAGTCAAATGAATCATCTTCTTCTTCTCAGTTTTCAGTCAGCCTATTCTTCCTCCTACCCTCTTTGTTTTCAGCCTTTTTTTTCTTCCTTTTTGTTGGTTCTTCCTGTTTTTTTTTTGTCTTTTCCATACGTTTTTTGCATGATTTTTTTTGGAATCAAACAGGGGCTCCGCCCCCTTCGTTTCTTCTTCATTTTCCTGCAAACTTTTCACCCTTTTACCTGCACTTTTGTCCTGCTCGATGGTAATCTGGAACAGGGGTTCCACCCCCTTTTCTTCTTCATTTCTCTGAGTTTCTTCATCATTTTTTCCTCTTCACTGGTGATCTGAAACAGGGGCTCTGCCCCCTTCTTTTCATTTTCTTCTTTTATTTAGTGTTTCCCTAGTTTTTCTTGGTCTAAAACAGTAGTGGAGCCCCTTGTTTATTTTCTTTTTTTGGTCTAAAACAGGGCTCTGCCTCCCTGTTTTCTCCTTAAGTTCTTTTTCTTTTCTTGGTCAAACACAAGGGCTACGCTCTCTTCAGTTCTTCTTTTAAGTCCAAATTTCTATTTCTAATATTCTGTGTTGCATGCTTTAAACACGACTACAAGAATCATAAGTAGAAAATTTAGTTTGGAGATTTGTAGGTTAATGTATAAAACCAAGTAACTAGCTCATGAAGGGTAGAAACACGTAGGCTTACTATTTTCTGATTTCGCACGCCTAGGTACCTAGGCGCCTAGGCGCCCCTTGGCAACCTAGCCTCACCTTGGCGCCTTGAAAACTACAGGCGAGGCGAGCCTCAAAGGGTGCCTTGTTGCCTAGGAGCCCGCCTAGGCGTCGCCTTGACAACTATGGACAAGGCTTTTCTTAAGAAAAATAAAAAAGAAAACCTCAACCCAAATCTTCCTCAAAGCCTCAATCTAACACTCCCAAAAGACAAAGAGCAAAAACAAAACTCACAAGCCTGAGAAAAACATTGAACAAACTCCCCCTCCACTCAACAAGAGACTCCCAAACCACCCAATCTTCCAACCTCACCCCTGAAAGCAAGACCCTACACACAAAGGAACAGATTAGATTCCCCCAAGTCAATTACACAATCTTTAAATCTGAAAGCTCAACTCTAATGACTGGGGGATAAGGCTTGGATGATGACTATGTAATTAGGTGTAATATAATTTGGTGCATGACTATGTAATTATATTGAGATATTACTTATTATAGTTGATACAATTAAGTAATTATTCTAGGCCTCTTGCTATAAAAGAAGTGTTATTAATAATTCAAGTTTGACCGAGAAGAAGAATTAAGAGGGAAGGAATAGAGAGAAGGTAAAAAAGATGCAAAAAATGGAAATAAATTTATTTTTAAAAATTTCAATACTTGTTTTACCATTTATATCTGCAACAATTTAGTAGCTTTATATGTTGATTTTGTGAAATTTAACATACTTCCATTGCCAATTGCCCATAAGCCATAAGACTTTCCTCAATGGGCCAAAATGCATAGTTGTTGCCTAGCTGCCTTTTCAGGCAAAAATATTTGTCACCTAGACAACTAGAGTACACAAGGTGGCTAGTGGTTAGGAGTTTCAGATTTTGCTTGAGTTATAAAATATGGCAAAAACAAATACCGCCATAAGAACAAAAGTGTCCCCATAATTTTATTTTATTTTACCAGGATTTAGAACATGCATACAAGCAATCCATCCCTAGTCACCATGATCCAAGTACAAATAAGTTGTTTGGCCATTCTCAAATTCTACATATTCAAACACTATCCTATAGAGAAGATAAGTGGTCCAAATAGGATTGAACATGTGATTTATTTCTAGGTTGTTTGCTGCTCCATTATAGGCTCTTCCCTCTATTGAGGGGTGTCTTTGTATTTTTCTTATGGAATTTAAGAAGTTCTTCCCATAGAGGTAGGCTTTCAACTGTTTATAACAGAACATAAGAATGTTATCAACCAAAACCGTATTTGTTCATCTAAACTATCAAGCATAGCATTGTTTCAATATATATATATATACATATATATATATATATATATATATATATATATATGTATATATACATATATACAAAACAAAGCATAATTCATAATTTAGAAAAGGAAAAACCTAGTACTTTTCATATCATTTACAATTGAGAAATAAACAAAAAAATATCAAATGCATCCTAGTTTTAACCTCTTCAGCGGTAAAAAATTCGAAATTTAGATTTTTGCAAGTTATTTCAGAGAAGGATAGAAGAAAAGCAAAAAACCAGGCGATGTGATGACCATGGATGATGGATCCGGTTCAGAAACCCTAGAAGCCACAGCCGAGATGGCCCGCTCTCTCTTGGAGATGTACCTCCCTGGAATTGAAGCTTCCTGTCGCTGATTAGAATAGTTATTGGGACAATATTCCGGCAATGATTGAAGCTGTAAGGTTGGATTTTCGCGCCTTATTCGTTTTAAAGGAGGCCTTACGAGTTTCTTCTCATCATCGTCTTCCTCGTCTGAAGCAGCTGAGTAGGCGTTGAAGAGAAGATCCATGGCCTCGAAGCTGAAGATTTCTGAAGGGGAAGACGAGCGGGATACCTTTTACTTGAGCGACTCCGCTCCGGACGCTGTTTGGCCATGGATCCGAAGTCCGCTGTTCGTGGATGTGGATCGGATTAAGTAGTAAACCAGACTAATCGACCATATCGGGCAGCGGGTCAGTCTTAATCAAGTTTCGGGTCAAGGGAGACCTGCATCAAACCCGAACACTTTTTTGGTAAATTACAAAACCCCCTATTTTGCAACAAAGACCCCTGTACTATGATCGTGAGATAAAGACTCCTTCCTTTAGCTTTCCGTTGAAATCGATGCACAGGATTTGTTTCTTTGCACACAAGCCCAAAGAGCTACGCCCTTTATATGCCTCAACTGGCTCAGCTGTTCCAATCTCTCTACCCAGTCCAGCTAGACCTTGGCCACTGCTGTAGCCCTTGCTACCTCATCTGGTGGTTGAACAGGGGAGTACAGTCAGCTTGGTTATTATCATATTTTCACAGCAAATAAAGGTATAAAAGCGAAGCAATGGTCTTGTTCGGTGAGATTTTTTTTTTCTTTCTTCAGCTTCCCTTCCACTCGATCATTCAATGAAATTTCAGGACATCTTGCAACATCAATGGTTGTGCAAACCCTAGATTTTGTTAACAGGATTTTGTTCACATATCTAAGCATTTTTAAGAGCGGGTTCAGCTTTACTGGCTTTTAAATTCGGACTACTTAATCTCCTATATGCTTTGATCTAAATATTCTCTGGTTCATTGAGGATAAGCTCTTAAATTGTAATGCAGCAGTGGTTTAATGGAGGAAGAGTAGGTTAGCTTTGAAACTCTTTGGTTTCCTGCTGATTAGTGATTCTGTGACGTTAAGCTTGATATGTATTTCTTCGTTTTCTCCTTGCTTTCCGTGTAGAGATCTCTGTTTGGCAGAGCCTTCTCTACGAAGGTGCTCGCAGTGGCATCGACGCCGGTTGTTGGAACTCCGAACATGGTACTGGTAATGGTGGTTGTCAGTGCTACCCTTCTAGTACTAGCCTGAGATCGGCTCCGACCGACAACGAATGATGGCGGAACCACCACGGCTATAGTCGATGCTGCTACCTTGATCACTTCTTTGTTATCTCCTTCAGATTTCTTCTTTTGTTACCGTTGGCGCTACCGTTGTTTAGTTCTTCGTCAACCAACAAAGTTTTCAGCATTTTCGATTTTCACCACTCAACTGCTCCTCTTGTGGCCGAGCTGTAATGAATTTATCCTCGACAAGGTCCAACAATGTCAAAAGGAGGATACACTTTCTCATTTGGCTCAGATCATTCACCTGCAACCAACGGAAAACAGAGGAAACCAGAAAGAAGAAAGGAGAGGAGATAAAGGGGAAGGGGAAGAAGAGAGATCGGGGGAGAGAGAGGGACAGAGAGAACTTTTGAAATCCGTCCTGTTGTTAATGTATCGTGAGGTCGGAGAACATGAACAATGTCTTTCTCCGAATAATTATTACAAAGATAGTATAGGAGTTAAAAAAAATATTATAACATATATTTTAACAGAAGACCAAGGGAATGTCATAGTATGGGAGTTTTTGTCACAAAACAAAATACAGGGGATCTTTATCACAGACCCTATAGTACAAGGGGGAGTCATTGTAATTTAGAAATGAGTCATTGTAATTTAGAAATGCACGGTGCACCCTTTAGTGCCTTTGAAAAACTATAAATACAGGCATCGCCATTTGTCAAAAACAGTGATACTACTGTTGGGTAATCCTATTCCACTTAGTCGGATCACATCGGATTCAGGTTCGAGTGACTTTATTTTGGGTTAGGCTGTGAAAAAACAATTCAACCAACCTATTGAAATGTTAAGCGTGCCGATTAGGGCTCTAATGGGTCGACTTAAGCTAAAGTTAGCATAAACCTGGTCCCAATAAGGAATTAGATAGTCACAGACCTAATCCTGACACGAATTCTATAGTTTTGTTTGAGTTTATTTATTTTTTAGTTGTTAAGCTAAAAGGCTGGAAGGCAATGCATGGTATGGGAAGAGCGCCCTGATCGAACCCTCATAAATTTTGACCAATAACAAATTAGGATCTGTTTGCTTCGTAGTTGCATGGAATCGGAACCAAAAATCAGAATTAAAATCAAAATCTTTTGAAATTTTAATCAGAATGATTTATTCTTAGAGGGAATGTCATTCTAATAGAAATAAGAGTGGAATTTCAATTCCATCCAATCAAACAATTGAAATTCTAGACCCCTATTCCCGTGAACCAAACGGGCTCTTACTTTTCCAAACGATTTAAAATAAATAGATCAAGAGGTGGCAAATCTTATTAAACAAACTATGAACCTCCAAATTACAACTTTTGGGTTGTAACAAATCACACAATAATCATGTATCAAATGCTCTAAGTCGGTATATTAACATATCAAATTTGTTCTATTTTTAATATTCAAAAAAAATTCCTTTTTATCACATTTGCACCTGCTAGCAATGTAAATTTTGCACCACATTTGCACCACCTTTCTCCTAACTCAGTTCTCTCAAAATATATAACATGGGGACCACATTATCTTGCTTCCTACCTCACTCGCAAAAGCCCGCCTCCTTCCCTCCATTCTCTTGCACATAAGGTAAGAAAAACACCATTTTGCTTCCTATTTTACTTTACACAACCAAACATAAGGTACAAATTAGAAAAGTTTTAGGGACATGGCTGAGCTGGCCCAGAGGCCCGTGGCCATTTGTCACAACTCAGCCATGTCGGTACAGTCCGGCCGAGCTACGGCATTACCATTATCCTGCCGATCACGTCAGCTACGCCCCTTACGGATAAGCCCGCCTAGAGGATAGGGATGGGAAGACAACCCTATCGGGGATGCGTATGAGGCAGGACACGACCCGAAGGCCCGCCGTCACTGCCAGTTCCCGTGGACGGGACTACCATAGCCAGACACACCAGTAAGTGCGCATCCCCGCCAAAGAAAGGCTCGACAAAAGGACACCGCCCTTCGTAGTCTCTGTCGCTGAGTCAAGTTTGGTCAAGGATCACCCCACACGACCCAAGAGGGAGGCCATACACACTGCAGCCCCGGACATCAGAGATGTCGAAATTAAAGAGCTCTGGCAACGTTTGGAAGAGTTAGAGCGCACTTCCACCCATAAGAGCGCAATTCCCGCCGTAGACCAACCTGTGCAGGTCACCGCACATATCACCAAGGAGCCACCCTTCATCCAGGACATCGTGGACGAGATACCCCATGTTGGATGGCGAGCCCCCTAATTCGACAAGTACGATGGGAACTCTGACCCTTTCGACCATATCACGGCGCTCAAAGCCCAGATGATGCTACATGGTGCGTTGGAGGGACTAATGTGCAAAGCCGTAGTAACCACGTTGCGGGGCCCAGCCTTGGCATGGTACTCCTCCTTGCCACCGAGGTCTATAGCATCATGGGCCCAACTAGAGACCCAGTTCCTGAACAGTTCACAGCTAGTCAGAAGCATTGGAAAACTTCGGCCAGCCTTATGCAGGTTTGACAAAGGAAGGCAGAATCCCTTAGAGATTACCTAGCAAGGTTCAACAAAGAAGCACTCCAAACCAGGGACTTAAATCAATCAGTTGCGGTGACGGCCATACAACACAGATTCCACTCTTCCCCATTCAACTTCTCCATCTCCAAGAATCTTCCTCAGACGTTAGTCGCGCTAATGAGCCACGCGCAGAAGTATATCAACGCTAAAAAAGCCCAAGTGCAGCTCAAAGACGAAGATGATAAGCCCGACAAAAAAAGGAGAGAGATCAACGAACGGAAGTCCAAGAGGTTGAACAAAGACCATAAGAGACAAGATCGCCGGACCGACTATAGATCCCGCACCCCTTCGCCGATCTATCAGAATTTCATTCCACTTAATATTCCGTGGTCTGAAATTCTGATGCAAATCCGCGACCGCAACAATGTCAGGTGGCCCGAGAAGATGAAGATGCAATGTAACAAGAGGAACCAAGACAAATATTGCGAGTTCCACAAGGACCACGACCACGATACGAAGAACTATTTTGACCTGTGCAACCATATCGAATATCTGATTAGGCGCGGTTATCTCAACGACTTCATAGACAGAAAGGAGAAGTCAGCCCAAGAGGAACGAAGAGCGGACAAAGCTTGGCAACCCTCGCCCCGAGGCCCCCCAGCCGACGTCATCCACGTGATATCGGGAGGAACCGCTGCCAGAGGGGAAAGCAGCTCGGGATGAAAAAGATATGCTCGACTATGCGAGATCGACGACCGAGGTCATGGAAGGAGGTGCGACACACCTATCACCTTCACTAATGACGACCTCCGAAGGGTCCAGACACCACACAATGACGCCTTGGTCATCACAGCCGAAGTGGCCAACTTTGAGTTGCGGCGGATCCTAGTCGACATAGGGATTTCTACCGACGTATTGTTTGAAGATGCATTCGAAAAGCTCGGCATTGACAAAGAACGGCTTACACCAGTTAGCACTCCCTTGATAGGATTTTTGGGAAAGTTCCTCCAGCCCACTGGGAGGATAACTCTTCCCCTCTTGATCGGAGACGATGATGTGACTGCGATGACCATGGTAGATTTCATCGTGGTGCGTTGCCCCTCATCTTACAACGTGATCCTCGGCAGGCTGACCCTCAACACCTTGTAGGCCGTAGTCTCAATGTACCACCTTGCCATGAAATTTCCAACCAAGTGTGGCATAGGGGTGGCGTGCGGAGACCAGAAAACAACATGACACTGCTATCAATTATCATACCGAGGACCATGTCCAACGACCAATACATTGATGGCAGAATCATATGACCTGCGTGACGAAATAAAGGCACAGTGCAGTCGACCTGTGGAAGACCTCGTCCAGGTCCTCCTATTTGAGGATGATCCCGAAAAGACAATCCAAGTTGGCTCCCTACTAGGCGACCACCTCTGAGAGGAACTTGTGCGACTACTGAGGAATAATGCTGATGTATTTGCTTGGTCGGTAGAAGACATGCCTAGGGTCAATCCAAAAGTTATCACACATCGACTGAACGTCGACCCCCG